AAGATATGGGGAGATATGGGGAGATATGGGGAGATATGGGGAGATATGGGGAGATATGGGGCGACATGCGAGGGTGCGCCGCGCGCCGAGAGAAGAAGTTCACAACGAAGGGCGGACGCGCACGGCAGACAAGGCGCAGGCGACGGCTTCCTTAGAAGTCGTCGTCCTCGCCACTACAGTAGCCCCAGGCCAACAGACCCGGCACACACTTCTTTTCGCGGCGCTCCTCCTTGACACACAAACACCACGACCCCCGGGCAAAAGGTCACGCACACGATTGGAGAACAGACAGACAGCGACCACAGTCGGGAGGCACACACTGGCTCCCAGGAGGGCGATCGTGACTACGCTGTCCACTGCGTGTGAGCTCCTCATTTCACGGGCCTTGTCATTGAGAATTGACACTCAGTAGATTTCATCGGTGCCCCGTCGCGTGGCTCGCAGGTACCGCTCGATGGCTCGCATGTACACTGCGCTGCACGCCTCGCAGCCGAGACCGCCTTGAGGCCATGGATTGGGCTGGCGGCTGCAGTTTGCGTATCAGTGGGGAGGGTTCGTCATGTGATGTCGAGCCAGCGCCGGCATCAGTGTGCTGCGCAATTTCGTCCTGTGCTTGTCCGTACTTGAGAGAGATGCACAAATAAACAAGTAAAAGTGAAACGGACCCGTGCTCCGATAAACCCTCCGGATCAGGGATCTTCATGACAAGCGTTTAAAATTTCTTTTTTCGGATTGTTCGCAACAAGGTGTGAATAACAGCTTTATCTAGGGTACCATACTTGACCCCCCCCCTTTGGCGCCACGTCTTTTCCTACCAACCCAGCGCCGATCTCGGCGGGGCGTCAGCGCCTCTCGGTGGGGCATCATGAGCTCACGGGGCTGCCCGACGGGGCAGGCCTCGTGCTGATGGACCCAGCCGAGGTGCCCGACCAGTCGGACCCGCGCCGACGGCGCGCGACCACCAGCCAGCTTGCCGGCCGGGACGAGCACGGTGCGTAGATCGCGCCGGCACTCTCCGGTCCATCCGGAATTTTGTCGTTCTAGTTAGCACTGCTGCTGCAGACAGGGCCCGCGCGACCCCATGCCCTTCCCATATCTCGTGTCCTGAGGCTTGGCGCCACCCCGGTGACCGCCCACAGGTGGCTGTTCGCGGGCGCGGCGAGCGTGCCGCTTGAGCGGACCAGGCTGAAGCCACCTCAGGACCCCACCTCGAGCCGGTGGCGCCACCCGCGACCCTGCCCGCCTTCGCCGCGCCAGCCGCCGGCTCGCTGCAGCCGCAGCGCGCGGTGCCCGACCACCGACGCGCCCGCCCGCTCGCCTTCTCGCGCCGCCTCTCGGCGCGCAAAGCCGCTCACACACCGCGTACTCAGCCATCGGCGCGACATCACCCCCGCGCAGGCACCTCGCGACGGGTCGGCGCACTCGTGCGGCTCAACGCAGAACTACGGAGCGACCTCCGCCGCGGCTCGGCGCTGCCCATGGCAGCAACAGGTGCCGCCCCACCACCCGCCTGCTGCCTCTGCCTCTCTCAGCCATGCGACCCCTCCGCCAATGCACACCTCAAACGCGACGTCAGATCCCGCTGCTACTGGCAGCATTCGCGGCGATGAGGCCTCCGCCAGCACTGATCATCACAAGTCGTCTGTTAAGCTACACGTTTTTGCCCTGTGCAGGTGAGCGGACCGCTGCAGCCATGGTGGAGCCGCGGGTCGGGTGAGGGAATGGCCTTTTGGCGCGGCGCTGCTATGTGCCTGCGCGCTCATGGCGCGTTCAGGGGTGCGCCTGCGGTGTGTAGACTGCGGGGCGCCGCGATAGCGCGGCGCCGACGATTGTGTCGCTCATTGTCACACCGTCGACACGGTCACAGTGTGTGTGCAGTGCGTCCACTCCGGCGACCGTGACGCCGTCGGTTCTCGCCTATACCGGCTAGTGTGGAGCTCTCAGTGTGGTTGCGTGTTTTACTAGTGATGCTGCACCAGGCGGCCTGTTTTTAGCAAAAAGCAGATACCACATCGCGTGTGGTCGTCGAAAAACCGCATGTTCGCCCGTCTGGGACCTCTTCGTACGGCTCCAAAAACCGCTCCTTAACGACGACTAAGCGGCCCGGCGGTCGATCTGCGCCTTCTCAGCGGTGGAGGGGATGTGGGAGGTACGTGCGGACCGCGTGGTGCTGCGATGGTTTGACGAGTGCGACTCCCAGCGTCGACTTTTCGACCCCACGGAGCCTAGAGGCAGAGGGCGTCGACCGACGGGCGGCGCACCAGGAGCCCTCGCTGGCGCGGTAGGTCACGGAACGACGGGTCGAGCCCCTCAGCTCGTGTGGATGCGGTCGAGTACGACGGCTACCCGGATGCCGAGCCTCTCCTTAGAGGAAGAGACGTGGAGGCAGGTGGCGCTCGGCGCCGGCAGCGCGGCCCCTAATACCGGCGGCGAGGCGAGCGACGGCGAGAAGAGCGACGGCGAGGCTGGGGACGCGCTGCCGCTCAGCGCGACCGACGTCGGCGGCGCGGTCGCCACAGGCGGCGAAGGGAGCGGCGTCGAGAGGGGCGGCGGCAGCAGCCGGGATGGCCAGCGGCGCCACGTATGTCGCACGTTGGGCGTACCGTACCGCATGCACCTGTGCGACTCACACCCCTGACCGCCGACAGTGACAGGGTGGGCGGGGCGAGGGCGGGGCGAGGGCGGGAGGAGCGCGGAGAGAGGCCGCAGGAGCGCGCCCCGGCCAGGCGCTGACGGCAAGCGCCGCGCGCTTGCGCGGCTCGGCGCTGGTCGCCCCACCGGCGCTTGCACCACGACGCAGCTTGACACAATGAAAATACACTTCGTTTTCAGCCCAAGTCCACAAATACACAAAATACAGACTTCCCATCTAAAGCCGTAGGACGGTGACGCCCTATAGCAATAGGGAGGACCGGTTTTGACCGCCCCAGAGGGCCCTTAAAAGAGACCACAACTCGTCATCGCGTGCCCGTAAGTTCAACGTGGCAGGCGCGCCGCCCGCGGCGACGAACACATCAAATTACCAGACGCAGACAGTGCGGGAGCACCGGCGATGTCTCTACGTCCACAAGCTCTCCCCGTCTCTACGTCCGCAGCTCTCCGAACCCGCCGGGCTGGTGAAGATTTGTTGATCGAGTCGCGCAACGGTAACGGGCACCTTCTGTGGATCGCGGGATTCGAGCGAGAAGAAGTCAAACCGCAAACTCGCACCGAACTAGGGTGGTTGCCTCGATGCTCATCTCCGTACCGGCCATTCCTTCGGAAGCAACCTGAGTCAGGTTCCTGAGTGGATCAGTAAACAGGAGAACGAATGTCGGCACGGTTCCTGGAATTTGTTGTGAACAGAATGCGCCGGCTGTGGGCTTAGACCAATCAGGCGAGCAAAAGGTGGACGAAAAGCGAACTCCGGACATGGGATTGTCGCACGCAAGGAACTGAATTGAATGGCCGTTGGACCGGTACGTTTCGTACCGTAACGTTTCGAAGTCAGAGCTGGGAGACAATGCGTCGTCGAGCTTGCCCGAGATTTCGTTCATCCTTGTCCTGTCCTTCGTCTTCTCCGTAAGCTTGAGAGGAGCGAACCAACCGCCGCGGTCCGAGTAGTACTGATAGACCATGTTCTTGAGTATCGCCTTGGAGAACATTCCAGCTTTGCGCACGCCGCTATCAAGACCGCTGAAGTCCAAGAGGGACAAGACGTCGACCACGCCCGGCCGGCCCACCATCGGCGTTTGGCCTCCCCATTCGCGAAAGTTGCCAATCTCGCACTTTGTCCAGGCGTCACTCGTTGGAATTGAGGGTGGAGGTGGGGGTGATGGGGTCGGTGAGTCAGACTCGTTGGTGGCGGCCTCGAGGCGTCGGGAGGGGGAGGGGGAGGGGGAGGGGGAGGAGGAGGAGGAGGAGGAGGGCGGGAAAGGGGTCCCGTCCCACGGGCACGGGCCCATTCTCTGCTCCGCGATCTGCAACGTCCGGTCTTGTCGACTTCCTGCAAACGCTGACTTCGATTCCTTCTTGTAGTTCGAACTTGCACTGAAGACCAAGGGAATGCTGATGGAGGCTCTAATGGCTGTGCTCGCTTCCGCGGTCGTCATATCAGAGTCGGACGTGAATGAGGCCCTCATGCTGTACATAGCAAAGTACGAATAGTCCCACGTGACCGGCAGCATCGCGCCGAAGCCAACCAATCGGCCTACTTGTGCTCGAAGCGTGACGTTGTCACCCCACGCCTGTTTGGTATTGGTGCACTTCTGTTCGGTGTTGCAGTCTGATTGGTCCCGGTAAGCGGTGACAACGTCTGTGACCAAGTTCCGGAAATGGTCATGGATGTAGCTCTCGGCAGCGTCCGGACCCGACTGCAGGCAGGTGTTCTCCAGCACCGCAATCTTAATAATCCGGCTTATCACCGCGCCGACATTGTTGGTCTCCCGCTTGGACGACGAGGACGAGCCGTACGAGTTGTCTGTGCCAGCCGACGCACTCACCTTCTGATACGTGCCCTCCACACCGGCGGAGATACCGGACGACTGGCTCACGGCTGACGAGTATTCGGACGACGACGCCCAGCTCTGCGTTGTAGAAACGGTCGTTCCTCGTGGATACCTGTGCAGCGTGTAGCACCCGTCCCTGACCATTTGCGCATCTTTCTCCGGATCGATAACGGTGCCGGCGGCGGCAGTCATCTGAGACGAAACGTCAGCGGGAAATACGTTGTTTGCAAGCGTGCGTGCCAACCGTGCCCCGAGCAGGTGGCAGCCGAGCCAGTACGAGTCCGGCAGGCTCGTGTCGCCGTTCCACCATAGCCAGCGGCCATGCATGTTGGCGCAGTTGGAGTGGTGCTGCTCGAAGTGGTAATCTGGCGGGAGGGTGGCAACTAATGAGCCCTTGTTGTCATAGTCCCATGGTGGCCTGGTCGGGCTCTCACTTTTGTTGGCTTGGCAAATGCCTGGCGCGCCGCCGCTCCAGACGCTGAGATGCCTCCGAGCATTGCCCGGCGACGGCGACGATGGCGGACGGACCGGCGACGGTGGCGGTGGGAACGGTGGCGGTGGGAGCGGCGGCGAAGGCGGCGACGGCGGCGGGGACGCAGGCGGCGGAGGCGACGGCGGCGGCGGCGACGGCGGGGGCGGTGGCGGAGCCGGCGACGGTGGCGGAGCCGGCGACGGTGGCGGAGGGGACGTCCAAAACTTGCAGTAGAGGGACGCGCAGTCGGTGTTCACTGCACAACGCATAAAGTCCTGGCAGGGCTTACAGCCACCTCCGCAGTCCACGTCGGTCTCGATCCAGTTCTGCGTGTTGTCAAAGCAATTTGCCGGCGCCGGTGGCTGCGACGGTGCAGACGGCGGGAAAGGCAGCTCCGACGGCGGATGCGAAGGTGGCGGGTAAGAGTCGGGCAGAGGCGGCGCCGGCAGAGGCGGGCTCGGTGGCGGCGATGCATCGGCGCGGCACATCCCGGCGCCGCATACGCCAGCAACGATGATGGCGACGGATACGAGTAGCGCGCCACACAGGATGGCCGCCACCACCTTGTTCCGTTTCCACTTCGTCGTCCCGGGCGGTCCTTGCGGACCTGGCGGACCTGCTGGTCCCGACGGGCCATGCGGTCCTGTTGGGCCAGCTGGGCCCGGTTCTCCGTCCTTCCCAGGCGGGCCGGGGGGACCAGGCTTGCCAGGCCCAGCGCAGCTCAGGACGTTCAGATCCAGGAAGGAGCCACCGCGCCGCACAGGTGCTTCGGGCTCGGGCGGCGACGGTGGTGGCGACAGTGCGCCTCTCTGAGTGGTGGACGTTGACTTGTAGCGCAGCAGCGCAGCGACAGCGGCGGCTACGGCGGTGACAGCGGCAGCGATGAGCGGCAACCCGTACTCCGTGAGGGGCGCCGATACGCGCAATACGACGTCTGACGGCAGCACAAACTCGAGCCACGAGAGGGCGCTCGACGAGGAGAGGCCAGTGGGCGCCGCCGCCACGCAGGGGAGGCACGCCATGACGGCGGCGAGGCGGAAGGCGGCGGACGAAGTAGCCGCGTCGCGAGCCCGCGGCACTTTGCCGCTCGCCGCGAGCAACCCGGCGCCACAGGCGATGGCGACGAGAAACACGAGGGCTGGTACGAGAAGCGACCAGCTGCTCACGAGCGAGACGGTCGAGGCGACGGCAGACGAGAAGGCCGAGGCCGCCAAAAGGTCTTCAGGCAGCGCGACCGCTCCCGGGACGTGCAGAACGCTCGCGAAGAAACCGACAGGCGCCGCCGCCGCGCCGGTGAGGCACGCCGTGGCGGCGGCGAGGCAGGTTGCCCCCTTTCCGCTCGCCGCGGTCGGCCAGGAGGCGACGCAAGCGATGGCGAGGAGGATGAGCACGAGGGCGGGCATGAGAAGCGGCGAGCAGCTCACGAGCGAGGACGCCGTCGAGGCGACGGCGGGCGAGAACGCCCAGGACGCCGCCGAGGCGACGCCGGATGAGATGGTAGAGGACGCCGCCGAGGCGACGGAGGCTGCCGAGGCGACGGCAGACGAGAAGGCCGAGGCCACCGCCGTCGGGCTAGGCACGGCGGGCGCGCAATGGCCAAAGGCGGGGATGCAGACGAGGAGCAGCCACCGGAGGGCGCCCGCGGCCTTCGTGTAGCCGCCCCGCACGCAGTCGGCCGCCGCCTTGAGGCCGGCGCGACCGCCGGCGCCGCATGTGCCAGCGCCGGCGCCGCACGTGCCAGCGCCGGCGCCGCACGTGCCAGCGCCGGCGCGCGCATTGCCGGACGTGGTCTTCGGTCGCCGGTGCGAGCCGCGGCCGCGGCCCTTTGCCTTGCCAGACTTGCGCCTGCCCTTTGCCTTGCCAGACTTGCGCCTGCCCTTTGCCTTGCCAAACTTGGGGTTGTTGCGGCAGCGCATGGCCTTGCGCCGGCACTTGCACCCGCACCCCGACCGCTCGGCGTCCAGCTTCGCCCGCTGTATCTTGGTGAGCAAGATCGCGGCCATCGCCTTGTCGCACACGGCGAGATAGTACTCGCGTGATGCGGCGTCGGCCTGCCCCGCGTCCGCGCCCGCGCCAAGGGGCTTGGGCGCCACGGGCGCAATGCCGCCGGAGGTGGGGGCTCCCGGCGACGGCGACTTCTTGCCGTCGGCGGGCGTAGCCTGGTAGACGACGCCCTCGCCCAGCCGGCGGACTTCGGCCTCGACGCCGACCACGTAGGCCGGTCCGGAGCCGCTGCGGGCCGACGCGGGCCCGCTCTTCCCCACCGCCTTCGGCGTGGGCAGGCCCGGGTGGCAGGCGGTGTCCTGCAAAGCGCGATAGGGGCACACGGGAAGGGAGATTATTACCGGTGGGAGAGCGAGGAGTGCCAGGAGAGAATGCTGCGGCGCGCTCACCACCGCTGGGTCGGGCGTGTTGGAAACGGTCTTGGTTGGCTTCTCGACCTCCTTGGCAGCCTCCTCGGCGACGGCCTCCTTGGCGACGGGCGCCTCCTCGGCGACTGCCTCCGCGGCGGCAGACTCCTCGGCGGCGGACTTGGCGGCGGCCTCCTTGGCGGCGGCCTCCTCGGCGGCGGTGGCGGCCTCCTCGGCGGCGGCCTTGTCGGCGGACTCCTTGGCGGACTCCTCGGCGACGACGGCCTCCTCGGCGGCGGACTCCTCGGTGGCGGCCTCCTCGGACTCCTCCTCGGTGGCGGACTTAGCGGCGGCCTCCTCGGTGGTCGCGTTCTCGGTGGCGGCCTCCTCGGCGGTCGCCTCCTCGGTGGCCGACTCGGCGTCCTCCTCGGCGGCGGCGGACTTGGCGGCGAACTCCTCGGCGGCGGTGGACTTGATGCCGAACGCCTGGGTGAGGGAGAATACGCAAGTGTTCGGAGACAGGGAGACCGTAAGGATGATGACAATCCGGGCGTGCGCACACTCACCTCGGCCCCGAGGTGCGAAGGTGGCAACGACAAGTAGATCTCGTCCACATCGCCGTCGGGCTTGGCCGTGTTCACTGCGGGCTTGGGCGCGGTCTTGACGTCGTCCTCCTTCACGACGACGTCATTAAGCGACGCGGGCTCGCTCTCGGGCGAGATGCCGTCGGCTTTGCCTCCGGCAGAGTCGATGACGGACGAGAGCGGCGACAGAGGTGGCAGATCGTCGACGAACGTGAGGCGCCGCGAGGCCTCGGCGCAGGAGTCGAGCGAAGCGAGCTCGCCCTTGGACTGGATGCCGTCCTTGAGCGAAGCGGGCTCGCCCTTGGACTGGATGCCGGCGGCCTCGCCTCCGGCAGCGTTGAAGGTCGTGTTGCCCGCCAGCGACGCCTGTGGCAGCCAGAAGGCGAGAGGGTAAGTCTTGCAGGTATCGTGGGAGCGCAGTGTTACTCCGCGGCGCCTGCTTGTCGGCATGCGGCGGCGGCGGAGGAGAGAGCTTGATAACGAGCCGGCTACCGGCGGCCGGCACGAACTCGAGTTTGAGCTTGTCGAACATAGGCGGTCGAATGAGTTCCTATGGAGGATAGTAAGACGGGAAGTGAAGTACGCGCCTACGGGATCACGACCATGTGAAAGAGGGTCAAACACTATTACGGAGATGTCTGGGGGTATATGGGGTGTATGGGGGTACACAGGGGTACATGGGGTATGTACATGGGGTATGAGAAAATCTCGGCAATCTCACACATCTCGGCAAATCTCACACATCTCCGATCCCCCTTCCACCCCCTGCCCCCCCCCCCACCCACACACACACACACACAACACACCCCTCCGCCCCGCCAGTCCCCAAGTCTCGCCAAAAGAAATCGCTTGACCGCATCAGGTTCGCATCTCTCTGTGGGGAGAGGACCAACGCAGCTTCTGATGTCTGTTGGGACGAGGAGCCGGAGAAGCCGACGCGCCTACGGGCAGCACGCCGCGGCGTTAGCGTCGCGAGGAGGCCGCCGGTTCGCGCTCTCGCGTCGTGCACGGCGCTAAGACTGCAGCCGGGCGGCGACTGGCGAGCGAGCAACAGTGTCGCTCTCGCCGGAAGAGAAGGAGGGCGGTCCGGCGCGGGCTCATGGGAAGCACGGGCGGGGAATCGGCAGCAGCGGACGCGTCTAGCAGCTCCTTGATGGCGGCGCACCTGCATGCGGGAGGGGTAGGCGGTGCGAGGCCGTTCGGCAGCAAGCGAAGCGCATCGCATGGTCGGGGTGGTGAGGGGGCAGCGGGTTCGGTGAGCGGTAGGCGTTGCCGGGGTCCAGGCGTGCAGCTCGCGGCAGCCATCTGTTGTGTGATGCGGCAGGGCGAGCGCGAGCGGAAGCGGAAAGTTCATGGCTTGCCTGGCAGTTTGGCCGTCGGGGACGAATGAGGCGGGTTGAAGGGGGGACGAGAGATTACGCTGATTTCAGACGGAAAAGAATTTTAGAATCGCGGTCGCACGACACGATTCACGCGACAGGCGAGACGCGGGCTACGGCTTCCTCAGAAGCCGTCGCCCGCACCACAGGAGCAGTGGAGGGGACATATGCTGATGATCCTGGCCCGATTGGTTCGCTCAGAAAGAGCTTCTGGGTGGTCGCGTTAAGGCTCGGCTCCCCGTACACCGGCCCGGAGTTTGGGTACCCCCTAGACCGTCAAGGAGTCGGAGCCAGTCTGCGGCGACCACAGCGCCCAGACAGATACATGGCGAGCTTTTCAGAGTCAAGCGATTGCGCGAAATCCCACACTGGTGGATTTTGGGGCGCTGTGGGCTCGGCTCTGAGGGCCGAGTAGGAGGGGTCTAGGTTACCTCTACCTCTGAGGGCCTGCGGCCCTCGTACCTTTACCTCTGGGCAGCCGCGGGCCCTTTACCTCTACCTCTGAGCGACGTAGCCGTGATTTACCTGTGCGTGATCTCCAGTGATCTCGAGTGATCTCGCAGCTATCTCGTATCTGTAATTTTATTAATAATATTGAAAAAATAGAACGGCTGCGCCCGTTTCGGTGCTTCGGCGAGCCCTCGACTCGGGCCGCGCTATCAAAGAGGCTTGCACTCACAAGCCCAAGCGCCATGGCACTGCCAACCCCAGATGGGGTCGTTGCTCTTGATCTGGATCTCAGTACACTGCCGGATGAGGCCGGCATCTATTGGCAGCAGCGCGAGACGGGTGCCCTTCCCGATAACCACCTTCTCGTACAGCTCATGCGGTCTGCAATGCTGGGCTCCATCGGCCGCTCGCCAACGAGTGATGAGCTGCCCACGCTGCTGGCCTGGCAACGAGTGATGAGCTGCCCACGCTGCTGGCCTGGGGAGCGGCGGAGTGACGGAGAGGGGGAGGAAAGGAAGAGCTCTATTCAGGCGAACGGTGAACAAGTGCGGGTGAAATTGGGGCGGTGGGGAGCCGGGGGATCGCTCACTTGGCCGGCATCGCGCAAAACCTCGGTGACGGCCTTGATCACGGCGGTTACTGCGGCCTGCTGCTTCTCCGGCGACTGCTGCGATGTGCGGGCAGCGAGATTGGCAAACATGCTCGGCCGCGCAGGCTCTGTCGCTTGTGCAGCCAGGTGCTGGGCCGCCGCCGCCGCCTGAGGCGTGAGTTTGACAATGGCGCGCGCCGAGTTGGTCACGTCGATAACCGAGCGTGGCACCTCGAGAGCCTGCATCGCATGTAGAGGCTGCTGCTCGAGGTACGTGACGATCGCGTCGTCATCCGCGATCGGCGTGATGACCTGCTCGCCGGACAGCACCAAGCTGTACCGCAGCATGACCGTATTGTCAAGCCTCAGCCCGGACGCGATCGAGGACTCAAACGATGCGCGGGTCGGCCGCACCAAGCCGTCGAAGGTCAGCCGGATCAGCTTGGGCTGGAAGAAGCTGTCATTCCCCAGGGGCAGCGGGTCCGACTGGCCCGGCCTGCCGTGGAAGTCGGCTTTTGAGAAGCCCTCGGAGCACCGACTCTTGTCCACCAAAAAGACCGTGATGGTCGTGGTGGTGGCGGCGGGTGGCGCAGCGGTGGTGGCGGCGGTGCCTGCGGCGGCGGCACCTGACAGCTGCGGTGGCGGTGGAAGCTGCGGCGGCGGCGGTGGAGGCGGCGGCGGCGGCGGCGGTTGCTGCAGCTGAGGCTGAGGTGGCTCCCAGCTGGTCCCGCCGGTGATGGAATTGCAGTAGTAAGTGCGGCCATCAGGGGCCTTGAGCGCCTGCCAGCCGCTTGGGAGATGCGGCAGCGGCGGGAGCGGCGGTGGCGGAGGCGGCGGAGGCGCTGGATCGGGCCGCTGCCAGCGCGTCTCCTGCGTGCTCCTGTTAATGTAGTAGGCGCTGCCGTCCGGCGCCGTCGCCTCAATCCAGCCGTCGGCAAGCGGCGGTGAAGCCTGGTCCATGGCCGGGCAGGCGCGCCGCAGGCGAAGCGCTCTCGCGGCCTTGTGCCCCCCGCGTCGTCCCACCTCGAGCCCTCGGCGGGCACGTTCACGGGCGTACGTTTACCTGCCCTCACCTGGGCTCCGTTTACCTCTACCTCCGGCGGTCTGAGACAGGTTTACCTTTACCTGAGGCCCCCCACGCCAGCCCTACCTCTACCTGCGCCCCCGCCCTCAGAGCCCCGAGTGGGCCCCCTAACGCCCTATCACAAGGCACCGCCCGCGCTCTCGCATACTCTAGTGGGGCGCCGCCCTGAACAAAGGCCGTCGCGTGCTAGGCCCGGGTGGACCAGAGCGGACCAGTCGGCCTCCTCCCCCGCGCCCTCCCGCCGCTCCCCTCTTTCCGGCAGAGTGGCGCGGCTCTGCGGCGCGACGGCCGCCCTCGCGCCGGACGGCTAGCCAGACGAAACCATGACGTAGGCCGCGCGCACCAGTTTGTCGTTACACGTGAAGCCGGGCTGCATCTCCTCGCAGACGAGGCCCTCGGCGTACTCCTCGCTCGGCACCTGCTGGATCGCCATGTGCAGGTTGTAGTCGAACTCTTGGCCGACCGTCTCGATCTTTTGGACGCCGAGCCCCTCGAGCGCCGCCATCAGCGAGGCGTGGAGCTCGAGGTAGCGCCCGTTGGCGAGCTCCTGCGCCTCGTCGTCGGCCTTGATGGAGCCGCGCGCGCGGTCGAAGTTGTCCATCATGGGCAGCAGCTCGTTGACCACCTTGATCTTTGCATCGGTCCGGATGTCGGCGACCTGAGACTTGTGGCGCGACTGGAAGTTTTCGAGGTCGGTCTGCAGCCGCTGCCGCTGCGAGGACCACTCCTCGCGCTTGGAGTCCGCCTCGCCCTTGAGCGCCGCCGTGTCCTCCTCCACCTTGGACAGCTCCGCCTCGAGCACCTTCAGCTTTTGCTTGAGAAACGCGGGGCTGCTCAGCAGGTCCTCCTCCTCCTCCTCCTCCTCCTCCTCCTCCACTACCTCCGCCGCCGCCTCCGCTGGCTCGGCGCCCGCCGCGTCTCGCGTCGACGCCTCGGATGCGCCCTCCCCAGCCGCAGGCCCATCCACGCCGGTGCCGTCCGCAGCGGCGCCATCGGCCTCAAGCATGACGGCCGCGCAGACCCGCGCTGCGCGAAGCGGCGAAAGCAGCAGCGCCGGCGGCCCGGCCGCGTGCCCGGGCGTCCTCAGCGGGGCGCCGGCGAGGGCGAGCGCGAGGGTGGCTGGAGATAAGAGGAGCATTGCACGACGAGAGCGTCGAGCCTGCGTCGCTGCTGGAAGAAATTTTCTCTACGGCATATATAAGGGAGATAGTAACGGGTTTTGGCCCATGCGCATGCTCTTCCTCGTGCTCGCCGCGCGCTCGGGAGCCGGAGTGGCGGGGTCGGAGCTGCTGCAACGGCGCGAGTGGCCGCGAGGGGTCGTGCTGGGGCTCTCCAGAGGGCGAGACCACTACGCGGTGCTCGCGGCGGCGCACGGGGCAGCCTCAGCTGAAACAGAGCCTCCGCCACCGCCCTCCCCGCCGCCGGCCCCCCCGCCGTCATCCCCTCCGGCTTCCCCGTCGCCTCCGCCGCCCCCCCCTCCCCCGCCAAGCCCCCCCCCCTCCCCCCCACCTTCCTCTCCGCCGTCACCGTCTAGGGAGCGTGCTTGCTGGTGTGCTCAAGGCGCTGGTGTGGGCAATCATGAGGTTGCTACGGTCACTATGATGGGCACGGCGGGAATTGTCGCGGCAGGAGGTGGGCGGCAGGCGAGCACAGCTGAAACGCCGAAACTGTCGGACGCGAGCAGCCGACCTCGCAAGTTGGGCCTTCCTTGAGTCAAAGCGCGGCTTTTGCCTAATTTATTCCTAATTGATAAGGATCGTTCTTGCCCATTCGGCGCCTCTTCCATGAATGTTGATGCTCGATCTTATTTCTCTGTGACTGCATGTGCATGCACATGCACATGCACATGCGCATGTGCATGTGCATGTCTGAATGGCATGTCTGAATGTGGCACGCCCCCGCCCGGGCCGCCGCGGGGCGCGTCCATCCATGCAGCCCGTGATGAGCATGTGCATGACACTCGCTCTAGCCTCGCTTTATCTTTGTACCTCGAGGTACGTACTTTTAGCTTACTGGGAGACAAGGGAGAGGGGGCTAGAGGGGGTTGTGC